AGACCAGCCAGTGGTTCCATGAGGCTAGGGCACATGCATGTGTGGGTGGATGTGGGAGATAAGGTTAGAAAAGGTGGTATACCAGTCAGGGGCCTCATATACCAGCATGTCCTACTGCTACCTTGGTGTTACTGCCATGGCTGCAAGCAATAGAGCTGATGTGGCTAACTTAAAAAAAAAAAAAAAAGGAACTCTGAAGTAGCTTATCAAATTGAAGGAAGGCTGAAGAACTGGAATCTGAAAAAAGAGGAACAAAGTATCTCCCTGCAGTTCAATGTATTGCTTTTGTGTGGCCTTTCTCACCAGGGTCTTGTAACTCCCACCCAAGTAATTCGGCATGACTGTGAGATAGGGTAATCGTGGCCCACCAAAGGGATCGGCCAGTTTTGCCGTGCTGCTGGGCTTGAAATGAGCCACCCCAGGGGTGGGAAAGAGAGAAACCCACCACCACAAAAGAAGAACAGCCAGGAGCCAGCATGTCCTTTGGACCTGGAATCCCTGTGCTCAGAATCTCCTGGAAGCAGGAGACCGAGAGAGAGTGAGATGTAACCCTGAAGATGGTGAGAAGCGTGGCAGCAGAGACCTGGCAGCAGAGACCTGGCAGCAGGAGAGGGTGTGTTGGGCTTCCCAGCCCATGGAAGAGAAAGCTGAGTGCCTTTGAGCAGAGGCCTAGGGCCAGGGAGAGGTGTGCCTGTGAGCACGGCTGGGAAGAGGCTGTCCTGATCAAAGAACTGTATCCTGACTGTTCCTGAGCCTGAATTGTAACCGTTACTTTCCTAATAAACCCTATAATTGTGAGAAATTGTCTGTGAGTTCTGTGTAGCCATTGCAATGAATTATTGAACCCAGCAGAGAAGTAGAGAGTGTCATGGGAGGGACGGTTGGTGTCAGAATTGGTAAAGATGGCGGAGAGAGGAAGCATGTGTGACCTCCACCTAATAGGAACCAGCCCTCGGCTGTTGATCTTGATTCTCCTCCCACGTTGTGAAGTTAAAGGAGGTCAGACACCGCCCCCATGTCATTTTTACACTCCCAAAAATCTAAGTAGCAGAAAGTGAGTCTCTTCGGGGCTTCTGCCAAGATGAACTCCAGTCATTTTTCAGTCTCTCTGTGACTCCACTCAAGATTCACATTCTAGGGAGAGACTGTCTGATTGGCTCATTTGGGTTAAAAAACCTGCCCCCTGACCACGTAAGCATTACTAAGAGTGTCACCAAGACTATATCTAATGAGGGGAGCATAGTTCCCCTAGGTAAAACTGAGATGCTATTATAGAAAAGGAAGAATAGATTCTGGGCAGGCAAAAACAGACATCCTAGCTAGGTGGGTTGAAGTCAGTTATAAGGAGCTTTGCAAGCCACATTTAGGAATTTAGAATTTATTGGGCAGGCAATGGCAAGCCACTGAAGGATTTTAAGCAGGGAAATGACACGATAAATCCCAGGCAGAAGCTTTTGGCAAATTTTAAGCTATTGATTTACTGTATTTATTTTTACCTGTAGTGAACAACTTTTAGTTTTTCTACAGTTCTCATTGATATGGAAGAGGACAAATCCTTTTTTTCTTGCCTTTTCCCATAAGCCAAATCAGTATACTTTTTGAGTTTCCCTGAAGTTTGTGTAGGGCAAGAGAGGAAACAAACTGACCAAATCTCAATGGATCAAGGGAGTTTTCATGTTCTTTTTGAGTAAGATCTTCCTCACCCACCCTCCACATGTCTGGAACCAGCTTGTACTAGCTCACTAAAGTCATTTGCTAAATTTTCAGCAATTGTGTGAGCTGATTGTTAAGTCCAGATATTATTAAAAATTAAATTACATGAATTACAATTTAAAAAAAAAGAAACATAAAGGTACTAAATACTCAAAGCTCATCGATTGCTAATTATTTTGTTATTATCTATGCTCTTGATGTTATTTACTCTGGTGATGCAGTGGTTAAAGCACTTGGTTGCTAACCGAAAGGCTGGCGATTCGAACCCACCAGCTGATCCGAGGAAGAAAGATGTGGCAGTCTGCCTCTGTAAAGATTACAGCCTAGGAAACTCTGTGGAGCAGTTCTACTCTGTCCTATAGGGTCCGTATGAGTCAGAATTGACTCAACAGCAACAAGTGTTTTTTTTTTTTATGGTAAACATCTATTGTATAGTGGAAATATTTTATGATGCTATGCTACTATGCATCTCTTCCCAACTCTGTGTTCAATGATATTATGTTGGTAGCTTGATATTGGCAATGGTGGGAGAATTTACACCAGGAAATTGGCAAACACTACTAGTTAGGGCTTCTTTACGCTGGAGAGAGCTAAATGTTAAACATTTACCAGCATACCACTGTCCTCCTCCCCAGTCCCAATCCCCTGTCCCACAGTCCCTTAGCTCCAAAGGAAGAATAATCAGAAACTAGAGTAGTTTCTTTGCAGCCTACTTTGGCTGACAGGTCAAAATAAAAAAAGAAAGATGGTGAGAAGTTCAGTTAGTTTTATTTGTTTTGTAATAGTTTAACATGTGACTATTAGCTCTGACACAGGGATGTGGAGAATCCAGGATCACAATCCTAAAAATGCCTCTCTCCTTTGCCAGAGATTTCCCCAGAAATTTTGTTATAAATGTATTTCTTAGCTGCATTTTTACTAACCCTGTTTCACAGATAGAAAATTAGAAGAAAAAGACAACAGATCCATCCACTTTTTCCTACCGGGGAACTCTTCCAGAATTCTCTGTCTGCTCTGGACAACTTCCAAGGCAGTAAAGACTATAGTATGTCCTCTACTGCCACCTTGGTGCCCAAAAAGCGCAGTTGCTATCCAGTTGATTCCAACTGATGGTGACCCCATGTGTATCAGAGCAGAACTGTGCTCATAGAGTTTTCAATAGCTGATTTTTTGGCAAGTAGATTGCCTGGCTTTTCTTCCAAAGAACCTCTGGGTGAGACTCAAACCTCCAGCTTCTGCATTAGCAGCTGAGTCCATTAATCATTTGCATCACCCAGGAATCCTACTGACAGCTAACTACCACTTTCTTTCAGGCTTTGGGAACTGCAATATCTAAGGCATATGGAGAGTGAGTTGTCCTTTATAAAGGTTTTTCTTCCCTCTTACCCAGTGAGAGGGCAACAGAAGGGACTTACATACTTTGGGCTGGTACTGGTTGGGGTAATGATTAAATGAAAGCTGTTTTTCTGGATATCGCTTTGGGTTCCCTGGTGATCTCCTGTCCAGGTCCCTGCCATGTCAACTTGGTTTTTACCCCTCCTATCCTACCCTTGCTACTGCGGCCTATGAAGCGTAGCTTTGGTTTAGATGAACCATCTTGGTTATCATTTTCTCCCTCTGCTCTGGGAATTGGTTGACTTTGGGCAAAATTGTTCCCTGTGTGAAATATGTACTTGTACTTGAGGATTTCCCCTGACTGAACTCTATGTTTGAAGTGGGTTGGTGGTGGGGATACAGGACAGGAGAGCTTCGAAATCTCTTTTGCTCCCTCAGGCTCTATGTCCCTCCCAGGGTGAAGCCTGGCCTGGAACTGGACTTTGGGAGTCAGACTGTTTGGACATCCACTTTATAAGAAGCTCTCCATAGAGTTACTCTGATGGCCTTTCTCATACATGTCTGGTACCAGAGCAAAGGCCTGAGAACTGACCCTCCTTGGGATAGGCCTGTGGGTAGGTGTCCTCTGGCTAGGAACTGGGCTTGCTCCCAGGCCCTGATGAAAGGAGGTGCAGATTTTAGGCTGAGCACTGATGTTGAAAGAAGAGAGGAAATAAAAGGATTTTCTTGGCTGTAGGAAAGAAAACCATGACAAGGTCCCAAAGCCTTTACATTTCACAGGGGGAGGGCTTGGGGTCTTGCCTTCTCTTTCTCTGATGGTGTCCAGGGCAGAATTTTTACCAATACAATGGTTATAATTGCTTTAGAACCCAGGGACTACAGTGAATCCCCCAAAATGGTCAGTAAGAACTCTGGGTATCTCTTCTCCTGTGATTTAAACTGAGCATTCCCAAGCGGTGAAATGAGACTACAGAGAATGAGACCAATTTCATAGGAAAGCTGGGCTCATTAGTGTAAGATGACATTGCAAATCAGTGCCCCCACAGGTTAAATTTGGTTTGCACAGGTTTTGTTTTGTCCACATGGCATATTTAAAATTTAGTTGTACACATTACAGATTTTGGAAATTTCACAGAAATGTTTGGAATTTGGCTTCTCCTAAAAAAATCAAATGGCCAGGTAACACTGTGTGGTAATAATTGCCTGGAACTGAGCAGCAACTACCCCGTTCCCCATTTTTCACAGTCCATCTCTCCCCACTGCATTGCAACAGGCCTATTGTTGTTATTAGGTGCTACAGAGTCGATTTTCTAATCATAGCAACCGCATGTGACAGAGCAGAACTGCCCCAGAGGGTTTTCTTCACTGTAATCTTTACAGAAGCAGATTGCCAGATCTTTCTCCTGCAGAGCTGTCGGGTGGGTTCAAACTGCCAACCTTTTGGTTAGCAAGTGAGCGCTTAACTATTGTGTCACCAGGGCTACTTCACCAATTTAAGACACCTGCCTGGATCCTGTAGGCATCTGAGTTTGTGACCCCTGACATATGGTCACATGGTATCTGCTAGGGAAATGATAGCTTCTGGCTGCGTTAGTGATCTTGAGGCAAGACTGGTGAAAGGCTCTGAGGCTCCCATAATTCGGATCAGGATTTTTATGGAGAAATGAGGATGAAAGAAGGGAATCACTCATAGCTGTTGGGGTAGAGGAGCAGGGAGGTCATATGAGATTGGAAACTTTGATGGGACAATGGGTTTATCTCGGCAGCCCTTCTCTAAGGGAAAAGCAGTTTCCTACTTGTACTACATGCACTGTTCTACTGCAGTGCCTTTTCAACCAGGCGTAGGAGTTAGGGCAGGGGACAGAACTTTCAAATCATGCTGGCATCTTTTCACTTCACCTTCCCCTAAATTAGCTTGGGTGTTTTCTTTTCTTTCTTTCTTTGGCACTACTTCATACTGTTAGATCATCTGACCTGGCCCGGCTGCTGGCTTTGCTCAGCCTGCTCAGCGGTCTGGTTTCATCTGTGGTCACCTCTGCACACAGGGAAGGCGCCTTCTCAGCCGGCAGCCCTTGCTTTGATACCTTTTCTGCCTGCAGGTCTTCCTTCTCCCCCTCCTTCCCCACTTTAAAGGTCTCTATTTTCTCCTCCTCCAGTACTGCCTCCTGCTCATCTGTGGTCAACCTCTCTGCTTCCTGCCTCTTCTCTTCCACCTCCGGTTCTGCTCCCTCCTCCACAGGCTGCTCCTCCTCCTCCGCTTCCGCTGCTCCCACCTGAGCGTAGGAGGGCAGCTTCTCTTGGTAAACCTGTGACAAGCCCCCCAGGAGTCCTGTGCCGATCTTCTCCTCAAACGGACTGAAAGGCTTGGCAGATAGTGGGCTGGTCTCCACCATCCCAACCTCAGTCAAAGGGAAATAGTGGGACACGATTTTCTCTTCTTCCAGGAGCTGGTAGCCTTTGGCTTTCTGGATGGACGAGACAGCAATAGAGTGGAGAGGTTTCTCAGGAATCTCCCCCAGTGGCTGTTCTACATGCCTCTTGAAGGCCGACCGGATCCTCTTCAGGCCCAGGTGGCTCATCTCCATAATATTGAGGAAGAGGGACACGGAGGCCACAGACAACATGAATAGAATGAAGATGGTTTTCTCGGTGGGCCGTGACACGAAGCAGTCCACCATGTTAGGGCAGGGCCACCGGCTGCAGCGATAGAGGGGCAGGATCCGGTAACCGTACAGGAAGTAGTGGCCCACGATGAAGCCCACCTCAAAGAGGGTCTTGAAGATGATGTGGCAGATGTAGGTCCTCAGCAGGGTCCCCTCCAGTCGAAACTTCTTGGTGCTTCGGCTGCTGCTGCTTTTCTTGATGCTGCCCTGGTCTGGGGCGAGGGGCCCCCTCTCAGCACCGTTGCCCCCGGGCTGCTGACACAGCTCCTCTGCCTCTCGTTCCTTCCGCTTCTCCTCCATGCGGACGTGGTGCACAGCGTGGCCCACGTACACCAGGGAGGGAGTGGAGATGAAGATGATCTGCAGCACCCAGAGGCGGATGTGGGAGATGGGGAAGGCCTCGTCGTAGCAGACGTTCTCACAGCCCGGCTGCTGGGTGTTGCACACGAAGTCAGACTGCTCATCCCCCCACACATACTCTGCGGCCGTGCCAAGGATGAGGATCCTGAAGATGAACAGCACGGTGAGCCAGACTCTGCCGATGACTGTGGAGTGCTCATTCACCTCCTCCAAGATGTTCCCTAGGAAACTCCAGTCACCCATTTCTCACCCACCTAGAAGAGGGAGAAGACAAAAGTTGAGCGGCCACAGTGCAGTCTTGATTCAGTCTCCTTTCCCTAACTCTTGGGTTACCTCTCCTTTCTGAGTTACCAGAACAGTCAGGGTGCAAACAGCATCTATTAAGCGTTTCCTCTGTGCAGACTAGGACTACGGGACAAAAGAGGTGCAAAAGAATCTGCGTCTGTTAGCTTCCTCATCTGTAAAATGGATTTGATAGTAATGTCTGTTCTAATTCACTTCAGAAGTGGTCTGAAAGGATAAATGAGGCACTATATGTATAATTCCTTGAACTCCATAAAAATAAGGATCCATCGTTGACCGTAAATAGAAACCCATGATTGTATGGATTTAAATTAGGACCACAAACTGAGACATAATGCTGAAAAAATACCTTATACCAGGGGTGTTTGAGTCTTCAACAAAATTCTTGTGTATATGAAATTGGCTGTAGCCATCTTACTTTTGACTGTGTCTAGATATACAATGATCATGTGTTTAAAGGGAAGTAGAAGAGAATAACATTTACTGAATACCTGCTTTGTGACAGACCTTTGGCATTATATTATTTCATTTCACTTCACCTTGCTAGTCTGTAATCTCCATGAAGGTAGGGACTCAAAAAACTCAAACCCGCTACTGTCAAGTTGCACCTGTCTTTTTTACTGCTATATACTCAATGCCGGACACGGTACCCACATACAGTAAGAGCTGAATAAGTGTTTGTTAATTAACTTGATCCTAGCACTTGAGAAAACTGAGACTCAGAGAGGCCAAATAAATTGTCTAAAATCAGACAGCTAAATTACAGCAGTGCTGTCTGCCTGATCCTAAAGGCTGGTTTCTTTCCACTACACCATTTAGATACACTGCTTGTGATCAGAGCTTCACAATTTTCCAGCTCCTGTGCTCTTAATTTATATTTCTGTTTTCCAGGTTGAAATCTGGAAATCCTTCTCGACAGCTTTACAGAAGGAGGGCAGTATATTTTTATAATTACTTTTTTAACCCTCAAAATAATTGAGCAGGTGTTTTGGGGAGGAATCATGTTACAGAGTAAGGAAGGTCACTAGGACACTTCTAGTGTTCCACAAAATGAAAAGATTTCAGGGTCTGTAACATGTGGCTGCTTCAATAGGGCCAAAAATTGATCTGTAGAAAAAAAATACCATTAAACATGATAGTATATAATGCCCCTAGCACAGCAATGGCTAATGGAAATGGGATTGAATTGACAGGGGTGATGTGTGCAAACTGGGTCATTCATCCAGTGCAAGCTGGTTACCTATGAAGGATACGGTTGGAACTTTCACCTCCACCTAGGGCAGATATTCCTTCAGCCTGGACATCTCTAGAGTTGTGGGGTTTACTCAGCACTATCTTTATACCCGGGCAAGATCCCATGCTTGATGATCCTGCTCTGGGCTTCCTCCAGCCATACCTCATCCTATAGATCCTGTGAAACTCACCCCTTCCCCCTTGGGTACCCAGAAGCCTGATCTTCCTTGCCCAAATCTACTTCCAGGGCTTGCATGGGCCTCTTCCCTGGGTGCATCCTACCGAGGGTGTACCACACCACCAGTGCGCACACACTTAGGCCCGAAATGTGGCCACGGGGTGCTACTTGTGTGTGAGTGAAGGGGTGGATGGAGCTTGGATGCACAGGCCAGGGTGTCTACATGAGACCCTTGTGGTGTGGGACTGAGCCAGGGGTGGAAAAGTAGGTGAGTAGGAGGCAGCTGGGAGTCTGGTGGCCAACTTTTCCTGTGCTGTCATACTCCACACGGAACTCTAGGGAGTCTGAGAAATTAAATTAGAACCCGACCTTTCAGGTCAGCATGGAGGTGTATTTTTCAAGTTAGTGAGATAGAATGGGTGGCACAAAGGGTTTGTGCTTGGCTGGTAACCTAAAGGTTGGAGGTTCAAACCCACCCAGTGGCACCATGGAAGAAAAGTCCCAGTGATCTGCTTCCATAAAGAGCACAGCCAAGAAAACCCTACGGAGCACAGTTCTACTCTGATACACATGGGGTTGCCATGAGAGGGAATCAACTCAATGGCATAACACAACAACATCAAGACAGAATATGTTTTATTTAAGGTTTTTTTTTTTCTTCTTTCGATTATAACTCAAGGCTCCCCATGTATGTCAGAGAAGAACTGTGCTCCATAGGGTTTTTTTTTCTTTTAATTTTTTTTATTGTACTTTAGATGAAGGTTTACAGAACAAATAGTTTCTCATTAAACAGTTAGTACACATATTGTTTTATGATATTG